CAGTAAAGGTAGGTTCCTGATTGCTACGTGGGACTGGAGTTGAAGATACAGCGATGGACGACGATGGACTACGCGCAACGGTACGTTATTATAAATAATTTATTCTTCTCACATAAAAAGCACCTCACTGTTAGAAAGGTTGCTTTTTTATATATATTATCTGTAAATTTGTATTATAATTTACACACAAGCAAATTACAGTTTTTAAAGGTATATGCCTAATACATTTTAAATATAGCAAGTTAATTAAATTATTCTGAAACGGTTTCTTTTATAATAGTCTGGAAAAAAAATTCTTCATATATGGACATATCCTATATCTGATGATGTTTAATTAGATACAACGATATATGAGATTTTCTCAATCTCATATAAAATTATTATGTATACCTAGATATAGAATTTGAGCATATATAAAGGAAAAATAATAATTTACAATTAAATAATCGATTATATTTCATATCTTTACCATAAAAATTTTTGAGAAGAATAAATTATTCTGCATGAGTAGTAATCGCACTGATTTTTCACTATATCGTCACTCTCTTCGTATAATCTTGTAACTCCAAAACGCAAATTTTAGATGAGAGCAGTTTAAAAGTTTAAAGGTTCATATAGTTTCCCTAGTAAAGGGGTCTTTCGGTTTTAAATTTTTTTCCTATAAATATTTTTTTAAATATTTGGTGACCATAAAGAACATGACTTTCTTAACTTGTTACTATACAATAAACTGAAAATCCGGTATGTGACACTTATATGTAATTATACGTAGGGAGTGACGATATATTCTTTTTTGATAAAATGTCTATAAATTTGTATATAATATTTTTTATATATGTGCTTTTTTTATTTTTTTTGTTTTAATATATATTTATCTATATTTTGTACATCTACTTTCATATTTCTATATCACTTTCTCTTAAAGAACCGATATAGAATTTTTTCTATATATATGTGCTTTTTTTATTTTTTCAATATATGTTTATCTATATTTTCTACTTTCATATTTCTATATTACTTTCTCTTAAAGAACCGATATAGAATTTTTTTTCGAGATTTCTATATCACTTTCTCTTAAAGAACCGATATAGTATTATTTTTTGAAACTTGTATTCTTTTATATATCACTTTTCTCTATTACTTTTCTATATTACTTTTCTATATCACTTTCTCTTAAAGAACCGATATAGAATTGTTTTTTGGAGGCTTATGCTCCTTATATTTATTCTTTACATTTATTCTCTTCTAGTTTATTTTTGCAAAAATATATATTTAAATATATATTTGAAATATATGTATTTAAATATATTTTTTTTTCTTTTCTTTTATTCTATCTCATCTATTTACATATGGTACGCTCTTATCGGGTGGGTATATACTCTCTTTAAATCATAAAATATAAAAACTCGGTCGCGAAAGTAAAATAAATTTATAAGAATATACTTTAATTAATACTTTTTAATTTTAAAACAACTGTCCCTCGCGTAAAATATTTGATAGATTTTAAAACTTTCCAAAGTAGGTAGGTAAATGGTATCTGCGTAGGTAGGGATGCGTATCTACAAGCGCTTGTAGAAAATATATTAGGCCGGGTAAGTAGGAAATATGATAGACCGAATAAGTAGGAAGAAATCAAAATATCAAATTAGGATCAAGGCTGTTATGCAGCCTTAATCCTAATTAATAACGCTAGTAACGTTTAAGATATGTCTAGATAGTTTAAGATAGGTAGGTAGGTAGGTAGGATTATATATAACTATTTATATATTATATTATATAATATTGTATTATATTGTATGTTATATGTAATAAATGTGTAATAGAATTGTATTCTATTGTAATAAATATTGTATAAAAAAATTGTAAAATGAAACTTGGAAATAGAAAACACACTGATAAAGAGTTTTAAATAAAAAAGCAAAAGCTATATTTCTTGGAATTGCAACTTTTCAGACATTATATTTGTGTTAAAACACTTTTGTATAATATACATGGTTTTTGTGTATTTGTATCTTTCTATATATATGTAGTATTTTTAAGAAAATAAAATAAAATTTATAAAGCACAGAGCAGCAAATGATGATGTGAAAGGAGATGATATTTGACTACACTCCACGAATTCTGATGTTGCTCGCTAAAATAAAATTCTTTTCTTGACTATCACATCTTTTCTGGTATATCACATTTGTGTTGTACGAAAAGTTGCAATGGTTTTTCTTATCCTTTTCTGTTTTCCTTTCTCATCTTCTCATCACGAGATCGGTCATTTTAAATTTCAAAAAAAATCAAATTCACGCTCTCGAATATACTCACACACTTAAAGAAAGTGACCATTTAAACTCGTGCACATAGCACAGAATAGAACCGCACGCTGTGGACATAGCGCACCGACATGTCGCTCGTGGACTGGCTGCGTAGTTCCAATGTGCACCACCCGTGGACATGCGCTAGTTTACGGAACGGAAAAGTGATTACACATTTTCTTCTGGGTATGACCGCTCTCAGACTTCTCTTTGGTGTTATGTCTGGCAATTGCGCTACTAACGTCAGCGTTTTCATCATCTCCAATTAACTTAATCGGCGATTAAGTATTAGCCGTGATTGGTCTAGTCTGCTAAACGATTTGTGCGACTGGCAATTCCAATGGAATAATCGGCCGATTAAATTAATCGGAGATAGTGAAAACAGGCATAAATGCGCGGTCGACTTGACGTCGATCGCAGCGACATCCCGCGGCGTAGTAGTGTAGCATCGTTTTGCGACGGGGATCTGTCGCTCCCGTTCATTCTTACGAGCACCACGTTTTTCCCGTAAAAATGAATGTGATCGCAAAATCGTCGACTCTCGCACCGTTTCTGCGGGCCACGGCAACGGTCGTCTCGAACGGCGGGGTGCCTGTGACTGCGACCGGTAAAACACACAAGCCGAAGGTTACGATTCCGCCTACTGTGAAACGAACCCTCGGACAGACTCTCTATCAAGATCTTCTAAGCGGACCTACATGCATAAACTCAGGAGTCGCAGGTGCGCATAAAAACACTGTCCGCGCGCGAGAAGATTCACGAAATTACGTTCCTTTTGTTTAATCGAGAGTACTTGCAATTTGCGATTATATAATCGATATGCGCGCAATCGCGCATTACTTTGCAGGTCGCTGCGCTATCCGTTGAGCTTGTGACCATATAACACAGTTTCAAAATAATATTGACAATGCACAGTACATGTCATGTAACACAAATCCGGTACACGTTTCTGCGTAGAAGATCCTGATGACAAATGTTTTGTTTATTTTAAAAACAATGGCAATGATGCGCATGTTATATGTGGTTGCAGTCAGCACACAGGTGCATCAGAGACGTTTGGCGCATACGGACGTGCAATGGCCAGATTTCACCGACTATCGCAAAGACGAGACCAAGGATCCGAAAACAAGATCGAGTGACAGCGCGGAACAACGAAAGACCACGTCCTATCTTGTGTCCGCTGGTAAATCTTTAGAGAATATTTGACACGCACAATCAACTCGAGCGCGGTAACAATCTGATCCTTCAAATTTTTTATTTATTCAGGTGCCGGTGTGGCGGGCGTCTATGCCGCGAAGACGGTAGTAACAGACCTTGTTGGCATGCTGAGTGCAACCGCTGATGTACTCGCTATGGCGAAAATCGAGGTGAAACTTGACTCTATTCCCGAGGGCAAGAGCGCTGTCTTCAAGTGGCGCGGAAAGCCTCTGTTTGTAAGACACAGGTAATTTTTTACAATCATCTGTCGTCGGAGACTTGATGTGCCGTTCTCTGCGTGCGAGTTTAAATAATTTCGTAAAAAACATTTTCAGAGATCAAGCGGAAATCGCGAGGGAGACCCAGGTGGACGTCGCGAGTCTTCGCGATCCACAGGAGGACAGCGTTCGAACGAAAGACCCCAAGTGGCTGGTAGTTCTGGGCGTCTGCACGCACTTGGGATGCGTACCTATCGCGAATGCGGGTGATTTCGGCGGTTACTACTGTCCGTGCCACGGTTCCCATTACGATGCCAGTGGTCGAATTAGGAAAGGGCCTGCTCCTCTGAACCTCGAGGTTCCACCTTACGAGTTCGTCGAGGACGGCAAAGTGCTTATTGTTGGTTAATGATTATTTCCAATAATTGTAGTGTGAAATAATAAAAATAATTTATGATAGAATATTTTCCGGTTCGAAACACACAAAAAGAAAAAAGAACTTATTGTCGCGCGCGACAATGCGGAAAAGATTGGAAAAGAATGTTTTGTATGTTACTTTGTGATGATATATAAGCGCCGTGATCTTTAAGCCTTCTCTTTGTGAATTGTCGGTTTAAACTCGCTGTATCGAAAACTTTAGAATAAATGTTAAGTGAAACCATTTGTAGGAAATTTGGTTTAAAAAAAAAAAATTTATCACCGCAGCGGAACACAAAAGAAGCAATATTTGAATGAAATATACGCACTTTTTACGAAAGAAACGATAATTACGACGATTTCGCGTAACTTTATATGTGAGTTACGATATTTCAGAAAGAAGGGCGCGATGTTTGTTCAATCCGTCACTGTGCAAGTGCGTCGTATTACCGGAAGATCCCGGCAAAATGAGTTTACGCAACGCGCATCTCACGCCGCAGAACTACTACCCGCATTCGCGACACGATTCTTTAGGGGCAGGGGGTTATGGATGTTGCCGCTTCCGCAAGGAGGCGCCAGCGTTCGGTGGCGGGGTCGAAATTTTCGTTGCCGGCGCAGGGTCGTCTATGAAAGTTCGTGTGCGACCGACAATCGTCATCGCAATCGCCGGGCGATCGGCTGCCGGTTCCCCGCAATCGCCCTCGTCGCTGCTGGCAGCGTACGAACGAGAGAGAAATCGCGTGGCGCAATCAAGTACAATCGCGAACACTTCACGTTGTCGTGTTTTTCACATTGCGCGTTCCCAAACGTTCGTCGCGTTGCTTTTTTTTTTGCCTCGGTACGAGAGTTACCATATACAACAATTACGTATATATATATACGCGCGCGCCTTCAACCCCCTCGCCAACCAGCTGACTCTTCCGCTCTGTCTCTCTTCTGCTTCTTCCTGTCTCTCTCCACCGTTGCCGGAACTGACACTTGGAACCGCCGCCGGCGAAAACACACCGCTGACGATGTATCGCCGTCAGCGAGCCGCTCCGCTCCGTCGAAAGGGTTGAAAGAGCGAAGCGAAAAGGATCGTCATATAGAGAAGACACCGGCTTCGAGCAACGCGAGATTGCACAGGTGAGCGAGCAACGTATTACCGAGCGAATTCCTGTGTGCCACTTGTGTTTTCGAACGTCACAGGAAAAAACGAAATTGTTACTCAGCGCGGAAAATTGTTTTTCACATTCGAGGTATTCGCTTGTTGAGTCGTATATTTATTAACAAGTATGCAATCGTTCAAAACTCTTGGATATACAGCCTCGCAAAATAGACACACACATTGTTTAACAATGAATTATTCAAGTTCATCATTTTTGTAAATAATGCTCGGGTTTGTAAATAGTGGTTGTGGTATATTATTTGTCATCGCGTTAGACCTTTGTTGCATATTTATACATAACGCACGAACATCGCTTCGCTTGAAATGTACACTATAAAATACGTAACAAGTTTTTATTACGTAATAAGTTTTCCAAAGATATATACTTGCTCGGAGACTTAATTTCTAATTCAATTTAATTTTAAAGCGGGTATCTTCCGCGCGCGCTCCAAGCGGTTGCTCCAGTTTTTGCAGGTTTTCCACGATGTGGAAATAAAGTTTTCAATTCGTTCGGTTGAATGCCCCCTTTTTTTTTCGCGGGATCGCTTTCGAATTGCTCCTCGCGATGTTGATGCCGCATTCCTTGTAGCGGAATTTCGTGTGTATGTGTGCGTGTGTGTGTGTATGTGTTCCGAGAATCGAAGAACACGCTTTGCTGCGTCTATGGCAATAATAATCGCGAGAGCGACAACAACAATTGACGGACTTTTCGCATTAATATTAATTCGTGTAACTTGTCACCGCGTTCTTCCTCATGAAACTTTTATAATGATGTTGTGTTGTATTTTGTGTATCCGCCATGCATGCGTGTGTATATGTTTATATCCCCATATTTATAGATGACCTTTGACCGGATACGCTAAACTTGAAGTTAGGCTCGTTCGAAACAAAATTTCGTTACATCTCAAGCGCTCGCGTAGTGTCTAAAGACAATTAGTCGTTCAATGAGTTTCAGTTGGAATTGTGTCATTTGCTTAATACCTTTCTTCGTCTCTTGTTTGGTATCGGCTCAAAAAACTCATGCCGGGCGTGTGTGTTTGTGTATCTGCAACGCTGGGTCATTCCGCGCGCAACGATTTCTTTGCTCTGCAACTCGGTTAACGGTACGTAAAAAGCAGTCATCGCGCATGCGTTTTTTTTATAATTGCTCGCTTAAGTCGCTGACCTTTTCGTATGTAAATAAAAGACAACATCGTCTTTCTTTCTCTTTCTTTTTTTTTTATTTTTTTCTCGTATCTTATCCCACGTGCGGGCACATATCTATATGCATATTTAAACAAACTTCGCATATTATTTTATCTTTCTACGATGAAAAAACTAAATGACGCGCGTGTTTTTCTCACGCAATAAAAAAAAAAAAAAAAAACAGTAAGCAATAGTGAGAGATTAAAATTTCAAGTTCGACAGTTATTTATTATATTTTCGAGGAACGATGACATGTTTGTGGAATATATTAGCACATTCGATGAATTTGAATCGCGAGAATGTTGGAAGAAGCGAGATTGAAATTGTGTGCTGTCATACAAAATAAGCAGGAGAGACGTAGAAGTGAAAGTCGAGAGTATGACGTATGGTGCACTCGCGCCTCCTAATATTTTTTCCCCCATCAATCAATTATCCGATATACTCTCGTTCTCTCTCTCTCTCTCTCTCTTTTTCTCTCTTGCTATATCTTTCCTTCTCTCGAAGAGATCCCTCTTGTCGCTTCTGCCGGGCCGCCCTTTTGCAACCTTGTTCTGGCGGTGACTGTACCCGTTATTCGCAGAGACGATCGTTAGCCACCCCGGGTGTGGATCTCCAAGAAAGTTGCAAGTGCAAAACGGACGCGCGCGAGTTGCAATGCAAATGTCCCGGCCGGCGGGGCCCCGGTATTCTAATTCTTATGCGTCACCGAGCGAGAAAACGCGGCCGAGAATGCGGCGCGCGCGCGCGCGCACGCACGCACGCACGCACGCACGCACGCACGCACATTGACGAAAGAAGGGAGAGAAGCTTGCTGTCTCCTCTCTCGCAGGATCCAGTTCTCTTTTTCGCCTTTTTTTTCTCTTTCTCCCTTTCTCTTTCGCTGCCGCTCGCCTCCGACGGCGCAGGACGAGGCTCTTTGCTGCTTTGTGCCCTGCATCCACCGAGCGCACTCGTTTCTCCCTCTCGCGCGCGAGCGCGCACGCGAAATTGCGTGTGCCGCAATGTGCGAGGGAAAGGGAGAAGGAGAGAGAGAGAAACGGGGCTAGAACGAGAGCGAGAGATAAGAGCGAAACCCCGCCGCGCACCACGCGGGCTTTCACGCTGGAGGAGAATCAATAGATGTGCGTTGCATCTTGCCCCCCTCTCATCCCCCTCGCGATTCCCCCTGCGCTCACGCGTTTTCGGCAGCCACCGCGCGCCACCCTTCTGCCACTATACTGACTCCGACCTTCGCACGCGGGTGAGCCGTTTCTTTACTTCGCGATTCTCGTTTACAATTCACGAGAAGATCGCGTTTGTACGATCTATATTCGAATGGCGTCGATGAATATTTGATTTTAGGTATTACGGAATGAGAAAAAACGCATTTATCGAACGTTGAATCGAAGAAAATTTAAGCGTGTGATGCACCGCGCTGCTAGATTATCGCGCGCGTATAATTTCGTCGATGTGTGCTTTAATATATTCTGAAATTTAAAAAGTGTTAATTTATTTCTTCTTCACATTACATTATTAATATCTATATATATTACAACATAAGATTTTTTTTTTTAATTTATTCAACTCGTCTCGCGTGATTGAATCGATAGGCGCGCGCTATCCGTGAAAGGTCGAAGGTTTATCAGCGGTCAAACTCACATGTGTGTGCGGAATTAACTTTTCGCGTAGTACATTCCGCGTACTTTCGCTTACATTTGAGAATGATCTCGTCGATTCGGCTTTCTTCCAACCTCGCGATCGCAGTTGGGTCTCGTCTCTCCGCTGTGAGCGTTTCGTGTATGTACGCCATGTTGTCACCCCTTCAACGCTACGCGCGCGCGAGATTCCTATCGTTTAGGAACTCGGCGCATAAATCAAGATACGGATGGCGGATAAAGACCAATTGCCACGTAGTCCTAGAAAAACGATGTAATTTGGTACGTACGGGCGGCCCGAAGCCGCGCGTATATGCGTATTTTCGTCGTCGAACTTTCCCGCGACATCGATTGCTCGTAAAGATATACCTCCTCCAATGTGAATGTCAGCCGCCCTTTTTCCAGCTAGCCGCTGAATTATTTATCTGCGCACGATTATCGTTAAGAAAAAGCACACACACACACGCATATCTTTATGTCGGTCTTTTTTCAGTCCAACAGTAGAAATAGCGATTAGGAAAAGGGGTTAGTTAGAAATATACATTGCACGCGCGCGTATACATATGAGTCCATTAGAAACAACTGTTTCTGCTGCAACGTCTGCGAACGGGAACCGTGTTGTTCCCAGTATGGTTTTGCCCGGCACGATTTTCAGGCATACATCAAGGTATCGGTCACACGATAGTTTTACATTTTTTATACCGAGATAAAGTTGAAACGTCGCATGTGGTTGAATTATTCATTCGCCCGGGGTAAAAATGGGACTGTTCTTTCAAATTTCTTTCCCCGATGAATCGTGGCGGTCGTCCCATCCCCCGTCTTCAAGTTCTGACACAGCGGAGATCGAAACTTTGCCGTGATGAAGGAAAGGGTATACACCCGCTGCTTCAAATAAAACGCGCAATGAAGAGTGAAACCCCTCCCAAGAGAAGAAATAATAGCGCCACCAATATATATATATAACGGTCGGTTCCCTTTCTTCCGCGCGGTCGTGCATCATCGCGTATCGCGTCCGAGAAAGGAGACCCTCGACTTTAAGCGTCACACGACGCCGGGCGTCGCATCGTGTGCGTTTTAGGTAGACCGAAAGTAGCGACAAGGTTTGGAGGTCGATAGGACGGGAGCGAAATCGAAGGCGAGACCCGCGAAGGGTGAGAGGCGAAAGCGAGAGTGCGAGTAATCGTAATCATAAACACACCGCGGCGGGCGCAACGTGGGCGGAAGGTCGAAGAGGAACGGGTGGGAGAAAGGAGAGAATCGGGAAGAAAGGGAAAGGGA